AACGCGAGCGGATGATTAAATATGAAGAGTTAGAAGAAAAGGCAGCCATAAGCGAAATCGGGATAAGCCGGGAGGAAAACCGACTTCTTCGGTAAAAAGGAAAACCGACTTCCATGAAGAACCGAGATCACCTCTATGGAAAGTGGGCGATGGGAGGTTTGGCAGTCTGCCGCCACCAACACCTGTCATAATCATTATATCTAGGCCCATCTGCAGAGTAGCCGACCCTATGCAGTCAACTCGCATATAATTCTGCCGAACTGACCTCAAAAGACGAGCTAAGAATTACTATAATTAGCGACATTTATTCCAATACGAGGATCTTTTTCGGACACATTAAATACTCTCATTTATTAACTTGGTTCCACCTAAACCGACTTTTTGTATTCAAGACCCGACTTGAAAATAATACAACTTAGCTAATTTACATCTTTCTTATCGTTTAATTTTCATAATTATCGTTGTTAAATTCCGTATAACAACGGTTTAACGCTAGAAGGATGGCTCCATAAGATATTTGGAGTTAATCTTCGAACCAGCGAACTTCCTAAACACATCACAAACACCACCTTACTATAATTTCCAACAAGATAATGTCTCAATCAGGACAACAAGAACAGACATCAAGGGCCAACTCCAGGCCTTGCAAGAACACCACCTTACTATAACAACAGAGCTGGTTGTTTCAACATCTCCAAACGATTGGTAATGCCTTCAAGAACAACTCCAAGCCTTGCAAATTGTTGTTGCATACCTTGAATGGTTAAGTCATTCCCCGCATTGGTTGAATTATCCTCCATTGTTGAATTCTCACAAGTCACTTGTGTATCACTTAATATAGTCCTCACAATACTCATGTTTCACTCGTAGGCTTTTACCTACCCTCAAATAAACTCACACTCACCCTTGATTTTTACCACTCCGAATTCTCTTTCGTAGGCTCAACCACTATAAAACCTATCAAGAAAAAATTTCGTAGAACAATCGAAGGATTGATTTAATGATCAGATTTTTTTTTGAACAAGCCTTGTAGAACAATATAAGGTTTTTTTGTTCTTTTTTTGAACCATCAAATTTTATTTTTTTATTTTTTTATTTTTTTAAACAATCCTCGTAGAACAATACAAGGATTTTTTTTAATGCTCAAAGATGGATAGAAGAGATAGAATACAGATCAATACTAAATTGTTCCAATACCAAACTGATACGGATAGCACGTGAGAAACATTGGATATATTGATCCAAGAACCAAACCTATATTTAGGTAGCGGAATCCCAGATCGTACCTAGAACTTGAAAACCTCGACCGGTTAGCTATATAATCAGCTAAGAATCTCGGTATGGTGAACGCCACAAGATCTTACTTACGTATATTGAATAAGTTCTTAAATAATTGAAACTCTACAAAAGAGAACTCAATCATAAAAAGTGATTTCTAAAATTCACTAATATTCTTGTCCCTCATAAAAACGTAAGTATGGATTTTTTATTGGTTACAAATGGTGCTGATTAGTTAATCTCGTTTTTGGGAAATTCACAAGGACAACTTGCCCCTCTTCAAATATCTCTTCGAGATCCAATGTGTCTTGGTAGAGAAGGCGGGGTAGCGAGCAAGCCACGAAAGCCCTACTTCATCGTTGGAGTTCGCGAGATAAGCAAGACGGGTCAAGAACTTGCTATGACTTCCTAAGGCCCCATGATTGAAGCCTTGGACGGGGGTTGTTTGGGGGCCTTGCAATACCCCCAAGCACTCCTTCATTCTTTGTCTATGAGTGCTCAATCATCTCCGTACAAAGGATCGGTTAGAGTTCCTTGAGGTAGACCCGACTTGTTCCCTTTGCGGTGTAATGGATGAATCATTGGGTCACCTTATCTTCGAATGCCCATTTAGTTTGGAGATATGGGGGGAGATTCGTGATTGGATTAGCCTACGTCATAGGCCATTGTCTCTCAAAGGGGCCCTTAAATGGATTAAGAAGGAGGCTAGAGGGGCTAATTGGAAAACCAAGATGAAGAACGCGGCGGGCAACGTGTCCTTCATTTGAATGCGAGGAATAGGTTGGTTTTCGAGAATGAATCTTAACCTCTAAGCCTTGTGGTACGTAAGATCAAAACTCATGTTTATCGTACTATATTTGCAGTTTATCCGAATGTACTTGTCAAGTTTGAGAGAAAAAGCCTTCTTGGATAAGCTTATCTCTTGCACTGGGGGCATATGATGCGCTACTGCTTCTTTAAATTTGTGTCACAATTAGATACTTGAGTGAGCAACCGACTGTGGTTGCCCTCGTAGTATTAATATTCGTGAGTGAGGAACCGATCTTGTGGTTGTCTGTTGTGCTTTTGTATGCCAATTATCGGTTGTTTGAACCACAGTTTTGATCTATAAATTTACTTTTACTGATAAAAAAAAAAGTTTAAATGAAGTTGAAATGATCTGTTGACTTCTAAGACAACTCAAGAGACATTTTGGTCAATGGCTAAAATGGAAAAAATAATGGACGCTTCAATTGTGCTTCACGACATGGACGAAATATGATCATTCTTTTCCAAATGAAGTCTTCAATGAATGACTCAATCTTTATGCAAACAACATGGCCCATCAACTTGAATAGTATTCATCACTTGGCCTTCAATTGGGGTTCGACCATCATTCTCTTGAAATTTAGTAATATGAACACTCAAGTCGTCCTTCATTTGCTTATTCTTTGCCCTCATGATCAGACCCCCATTTATTTTCAACGGATCTATCGTACTTTAAATGAAAAGCTTCAAATTGTCTCCACCAATAAATGAATAAAATCATATAATAAAAGGGTAAAATCTTTAGTTCAATAATACGCCAACATAAAAAATGTGTCTGGAAGTTTGACCATCTTCAATTCCCATTGCACTAGCCGTGGTGGATATCTCATAGAGGTACGTGCTCCACATGCAAAACCTAATGCAAGGATTGTATGGTAGCACCATATCATAAATCCCCAACGAAATTTGTAGATTGATATTGCATTTTATGGTAATGGGTTGCCTACAAGTAATCAAATAGGTACTGAAACGAATAATTCCTCGATGGGAAAGCCTCCCACGTCTAGGTGTCCTCAAGAAAACTCCACCAGCAAGTTTTAATATATCGATGTCTTTAACCACAGTGGATTCATGATCAAGGATGAAGTACATGAACTTGAGCATCTTGCCGACTCTCACTATATATCACGAGAGTCACAAAATGCCCTACTATTGAAGTCAGTACTCAATGTCTGCATACTGACCCGCTTGCCACCATACGTCGAATAGAAAATCGATGATGGAGGAGGAGGAGGAGACGCTGAGTTCAGATAATACTCAAACGATCCAAAAGCAATCCCAGTCACCAAAACATACTCATGGGTGGAGAAATATGTAAAGTGGTAACCAATGTTGAACCATATCGCAATCGGACTATGACCGGAACGAGTCACCTCATGCGAGAGAACCCCATGAAGTGCCTTTGTCGAGACCTTAGCCTTATCAAAAAACAAGAGGAACCACATCAAGGACTCAAAATCTGCCAGTTCCCTATCAATGTTGGCAAACTCTTTCTTGATTTCAGCAAGAATGGAATGTCTATTGTAGGTGTTGATCTTCAAACTTTCATATCTACCGATCATGTCTCGTCTCTTATACGACCTCAAACCCTAATTATCAAATAAAAACAACCATTACTTCATATTTCTTAATTATCATAAGTAGATGAAATTAAATTGAATACTCTACCGCTCTAGATGAGATGGTCGTCGAACCTGTGTCGGCAACCGCTGAGTCGCTCGCTGTCGGAACAGTGACGGCAGTTGCTCGATTGCCCGTTACCACCAATTCTTCTTCTATTTCTTCGAGCATGAAGTCTTCAGCAAATTCATAATCACACATGTCGCTCATCTCTTTTTAACAAATTATTTAGTTCTGACTATGGAAAGTAATGTCGCAAGATTAAAAGTCAATTCTTTTCCATTCTCTATTTTTTGAGTTTGTTGGTGATGTATGTGTAACAGTGTAAAAGTAAAAGATAAAAGTAACCGTTGGCGTCTGAAAGTGAAAGGCTTCTTGTATTTTTAGCATATTTAAAATACTCTGTATTTTTTTGGTATTAAATAATAACTATGCGAAAAATATGCGTAAGAACAAGCGCCGAGTAATTATCGCAAAGTACGAAATTACCAAGAGAAAAAAAAAAAAGACATTTCCAAAAATTTAATATTCGACTAATTATGCGTTGAAGTTTTGCCTAATAATCGCATATTTGAATGAAAAAAAATAAAAACACTGGTTCTGCAGATCATAGTTCCACTGCATTTCTAATAAAGAAACAAAAATAGTGGCTTTTGCGTTCAATAATCCTATCACTTTGGCAGTTTGTCATAGCATATATGAAAAACTTCTATTTTTTTGTTATTGTTTTGTGTTGTAGGTGTCTGTGCTAGTCTTGTGTTTTGTCTTTGTATTTTAGGTTTGGGCCGTTGGCCTCAGTTAGCCCGGGTGTGACCTTATTATCCTGTTGGGACCGCACACTCGGGCATTACCCTGTTGGGGTCGTTTTTGTGTTTGTCTTAGTATTTTAGTGTCCTAGTCGTGTTCCCGAGGTTTACCCTGTTGGGGTCAGCTCTATGCGGTCTGTTGACTATCCTGCCATTTTTATTCTGCTATTGGCTGCTTGTATTCAGCTGTTGGCTGTTCGTATTAAGCTGGTGGCTGCTCCTTTGCACATTTGTGCACATTTATATAAAACCTCTATCGTTTCGCCAAAAAAAAAAAAGAAAAAAAATCTACGTCAGAACAGTTGTCAAGTAACAATATGCATCAGAACAACAGTCGAATAATAATCGAGAACAACTGTTTGTATCACTTTGGCAGTTTGTCGGCATATTGAATTTATTAATTTGAATTTACCATTTAAAAAATAGTCGTATAAAAAGTTCATTATTTCGAGGCTAACCAGTCAGAACATTTTTATATAACAATAATAAATGTATCGATTTCTGTTGCAAAGTAGTCACATAATGACTCGCATTTTCATGCAGAAAGCATTTTCATGCAGAACAGTCGTTCTGCATGAAAACTACAAATACTACGTAAATGCTACAAAAATGATTATGAGTCAACTTGAACGTCATGTGTCAGTATAAATACTACATGAATAAGGTCCACAAAGTTCATCACATCTCTATCACTATGTATAACAAAAAAAAAAAAAAGTGAATGTATTTTGTATTTTTCACGGTTAAGATCTTCTACCTCTGCATTCCTATCGCATATTCATGTACTAATTTCATGGCTCTCGTCTATGATCAACGTACACTTGATCAATTAGTGTAATTCGTCGTCTTTATTATTTTTCATCAAGTTCTCGCGGTTGTTGATCTCGGTCCGCCCCACGATCCTCCACCTCATTGCTTTGAAGATTTCCATTCTTATAAACATTGGGGGTTCAAAATGTTGAAAACCTCCTTCACGTGTTTTTGGTACAACATTCCCGAGAGGACGACCTTTCTAGGACTTACACGAAGAGTTGGTAATTGTCGAGTATCTAGAAAATGTAAAAACATGTGCAAGAAGCTATAATTGAGTTGAATAACGCCATCTGGGAGGTAATTTCTATTTTTTTAATAAATCGATATTTATTCGGCCATTCGTTATTAGTGTATACTGGGTATGTTGTTGTTGTTGTTGTATTCGTTATTAGTGTGTAATTTTTTATGTTTTTGACAAATTAGTGTTGTAAAGGGCCAGTTTGGTAGCCTTGATAAGGGATGATTCCACCACAATGTTATTAATTCCAGCCTTTTAATTTGTTTGGTTGGAACCCCTGAAGCCCGAAATAAGACCAAAGCCCAGTCAATTTGAACTCATTTCTTTTGATAATAAATTCGGTGTCCTTTGTGGAATACCTTTTCCATCCATCTGCCCCTATTTCCAAATTTACTATTTTTTCCCTTTCTTAAATACATTTTTTATGTTTATGTGTTCAGTTCACTTTTTTCATCTGAAACCTAGGGTTTCTCTCTCTTTCTTTCTTCACCCCTGTGAAGAAAGCGAGTGGAAGGCGCAGCTCACGCACGGTTTTGTAACAATAAAATCGCTCCCTGAGAAAAGGCGAAGGCTAGTGGAATCACTGGTATGTAAATTTCGGTCTATTTGGGGTGTTTTTGCTATTCTTTTGGTTGTATCTCAGTAGTGAGATGCGTGTTTGCATAATACTCGTGTTCTGCTTTTCCGTTTGTCTACTAGTTATGGTCGCCTCAAATGAACTGAACATAGTGTGGCTAGATATTGAAACATCGATGCTTTAGGCTTCCATGTTTCTCAATTAAACTCAATTCGGTGTCTGCCTTGGACTTTGCCGACCTAATACACCAAACTTATGATCATAATTCAGAAATTTTTATGCTGTTGATTACAATTTTTGTAAAGTTGAATTTAGGTTATAATTGTGTGTTATTAATTTCTGTATAAATGAGTTCATATTTTAGCTTTCTGAACTGAGAAATTTAACAAAATTTTTCTTTGGAAATATAGAAGATACTAAGACCAAATTTGTATAAATACTCGAATTCTTGGATTTGAATTTAGTCAGCATCACCATAAGTAGGTGGCATTTAATATGACCAAGGATTCACTTTACATTTTGTCTAGATATATAACCTATGTACATTTTAATACGATCTATATTTGATTCGAATGTTTATATTTTCTACACATTTTGAAAAAAAAAATGAGAGATATAGTGTACAATCTTGAATCAATTAGTGGAATGCATATTACTTACCCAAGGAATGATATCATTTAAGTTACAAACTTGTTCTACATTTGTGTACTATTTTTAATGGTCGATTCATTTGTGTTCTAGTTATGGTTGTGTCAAACTCTTCGAGTTTTTTATTTATTTATTTTTTCTTGAAGCCAATTTTAGTAAGAAATGGTAAAGAATCAATAAAACTGAAAAGTATGTTTTATTTATTTCTGATGTTTGTGCTGCTGCTTTGTGTTTTTTAACACGTTTTGTTGAGTACAATTTATTTTTTTCTGTATATGCTCTCTTTTTTCGATCTTTCTCTTGAGTTCAACTGATTTTCTTACTTTGTGTAAGTTTTTCATCATGTTGATCAAACTCTTGAACTATTGATTGTTGTTGTCTTCGTGAATTAGGCATATAGTATGTTTATTTTGTATCACAAAAAACACGTACTATTTTGTATGAGATGAAAATTGTCAGAAACTTAAGTTGTTCATGATGTTGCTATGGGTATATATCCACATATGCTAAATTTCAAATTGGTCTGAAGTTGTTCATGATGTTGTTATGAGAATTGTAATTGTAGTTATCCTTATGCTATATTTGATGTACACAAAATTGTTTTCCTAGAATTACTTACTGTACCTTTATATCGATGATGTGTCTTACGTTGTTAAAATGATTTCTCATAAATATCCCTCTATTTAAATTGGACAATTTGTTTTCATTGTTATCATGTAAACATTGTTTGAGTTTTGGTATTCACACTTTTTGTAGTCGTTTATTTACACTATTTACTTTCAGATTTTGTTGTTGAACACAATGGTCGGGTTATCTAGGAGAAAGACAGAACTTCTCATTTTAATTGAAGAAATCATGAATGTGACTACCTTTTTCATGAATTTGGTTGTTGCCCTACCTGCGAAACAAAACGATGATAGGGGTGAATTAATTTCCAAGCGCATGAAGTATACAATGTCTAGTAGGATTCCGAAACAAGTAGAACACTTAAACTGTTTGGTTGCAATGAATGAGGTAGATTGTTTAGAAAACTTGAGGATGACGAAGGGAGCCTTTGCAAGCTTTGTTACCTCCTCCGTACCATTGTGTCTGTTACGGAGAAGACAACTCTCTTTCTATCAATTATAGCTCATCATAAGAAGATCAGAGTGGTTAAATTTGACTTCAAGAGGTCTAGTCAAACTGTAAGCATCTATGTACATGACGTGCTTTTGGCGGTTTTGTGTCTGCATGAAATTCTGTTAGTGAAAACAGAACCAGTTGATGATTCATACAACAATAACAACATATGGAAGTGGTTCAAGGTATTTTCAACTTCATAAAATGCAAAGCCAATTTGTTGAAGAGAAGATGAGTAAAAAAAAAAGAGAAGCAATAAAAGTTGATTTCATCTTCTTTTATAAAGTAAAAAATATATGTTTTGTTTTAATAGGGGTGTCTAGGTGCTTTAGATGGAACGCATATCAGAGTGACAGTTCCTAAAATAGAGAAACCACGGTATCGAACGAGAAAGAGTGAAGTTGCGGTGAATGTACTTGGCGTAGTAGATCGAAATCTTAATTTCGTGTATGTGCTGTACAGTTGGGAAGGGTCTGCGGCCGATTACCGTGTGCTAAAAAATGCAATTCATAGAACAAGAGGGCTAAACTTTCCTAGAGGTATTGAGAATAACTTTTCCAAGGCATTAAAAACTAATTAAAATCAAGTAATTAATAAATTACTTCAAATTTCTTGTAGGTAACTACTACTTATGTGATAATGGTTATACAAATGGTAAAGGATTTTTGACCCCATACAAGAATGTCCGGTATCATTTGAAGGACTGGGGTGAAGGGAGACTCACACCACAAAACTCTCGTGAGTTTTTCAACATGTGTCACTCCAAAGCAAGAAATGTAGTAGAGAGGTCATTTGGCATTTTGAAAAAAAGATGGGCGATCCTAAGAAGTCCCAGTTTTTACAACACTAAAACTTAAAATAGAATGATAATGGCATGTGCACTTCTACATAATTTCATCCGTCGTGAACTTCCAATTGATCCTATTGAGGTAATGGTCGGCGAAGATGAGCAAAATGAAGTTGAAGAAGACAATGAACATGACCAACAACTAGAGTTCATACAAACTGTACAGACCTTCAATGAGTGGTTCGTTTGGAGAGATGGCTTAGCTAATTTAATGTTCAATGAATGGAGATGCATTTAGTGTGCTAACCACATTAGGGTTTCATTATGATTTGCATTTTTATATGTTCTTGCGGTAATGACATAAACTCTTTTGAACCGCATGGATAATGTTTGTAGTATGAAACTTTGAGTGTTGGAGTTTGTTTGATCTCTTTGAATGAATTGAATGTTTTCTTAACAATGTTGTACTGTTCAATGGTAGTTGTTTTTATTCCTTGTTGTTGTTTGATAGTATATATCTTTCTTTTCAATCGTAGTCTTAACTGTAATGAGGTCAATTGGATGTAAATTTCATTTCATTGTTGTGCCTTTATTCGTGGTTTTCAATTTGTGTCTGTTGCAAACATGCATACTGTTGGGCAAAGGAGCTCAAAAACTAGACAACCATGTCTTGAAAAAAGTAGACGCAGTTGGAGTAGACGAGAGGAAGAAGTACTAATTTCAGCTCTTAAAGGAATCATAAGAAGAGGGTGGAAATCAGAGAATAGCTTTAAGACTGGTTTCTTAAATGTTGTGGAGCAGGAGTTGGTTAAAGCATTACCTGGTACTGATTTACGAGGCATGCCACACATCAACTCTAAAATTCATGTTTGGAAGAAAGATTATGGCAGTCTTTCTACAATGCTTTCCAGAACTGGGATGGGTTAGAATGAGTCTGAAATAATGATTAAAGCATCTGATGAAGCATGGGCCAATTATATAAAGGTCATTTTTCTGTCTTCATTACGAATCGAAGATTTTTATTAAGTAATAACTACGTGAGACATTATGATGCATTTTCGATTATAAAGTATAAATTGAGTTATTGTGACATGCTCTGTTTTTTCTGCTTTCTTGTTTTTGTTTTTTCATAGGTGGATGGTAACGCACGTAACATGCGTCATAAGAGTTGTCCTTACTACTATGATTGGATAGAGATATTTGGAAAACACCGGGCAACCGGACAAGAGGCCGAGGAATTATTTGATGCAGGCAACATTAACATTTCTGCACCAACTCATACTTTTAGCCAACCCAAAGACACTTCTGATTTGAATTTGGATATGGATGAAGAGGTGAACGAGACAATGTCCGAGGGCAATCCACCCTCGTCAGCTGGAACAAAAAAGAGTACCGGCGTAAACGTAAATCAGGTGAAATGGTTGATCCTTTAGTTGAAGTAATGAAAAACTTTGCTGAGAACACAAATGCAAGGCTGGGGTAAATTGCAAAAACAATTGGGTATGACTATGATGTTTCAAGTGCTCGTAAAGACATCTATTCGATTGTTTGTGGTATTGAAGGATTGACTCTAAAAGAACGGCTTCTCGTGTCAAAAATGTTAGTAAAAAACTGTAATGCCCCGTTGAATTATGGAATATTAGGGATTTGTTTATCTTTATTGTTATTATTATTATTATTATTATTATTATTATTATTATTATTATTATTATTATTGTTGTTGTTGTTGTTGTTGTTGTTGTTGTTGTTATTATTAATAAATGTCTAAAATATTTATTAGTCAAATTGTAATTAAATGCCTAATTGTCTAAGTGTTATTAATATTATGTGTGTATTTGTATTATTATTAATATTATTATTTTATATTAAATTGTGTGTATTATAAATATATAAATAATATCCGGTTTATTTATTTTATTTTTTTTATCGTGCGATTAAATTGTCGAGCCGAACCGAATTATTGTTACGTCTAGTCGGGCCCGAGAGAGATTCTTTCCTTAAGCCTTCGCATGAATCGGCCGACCCGCGAAACCGAACTGACCCAGACCCGGTCTGCCCCTACCCGTGTGAGTGTGTGTAAGTGTGTGTCTTGTGGGACAAGACTATTAACACTAGGTATTGTTTATATCTCGCTCAAACCTTAAGAAAACTCAAACCCGCAGACAGATATATCTCTCGTCCTTCTCACGTGATTAAACTCATATCAAATCCTCTCCTCTCTCAAATCTGCCGTCCTCAATCTCGCGTCTCTTTCTCTCGATCGGAAAAGAGAAAACCCGCCACCATCTCCCTTTTTCTCTCGTTGTTCAACTCACCTCCGATCACCACCATCCTCCTTCATTCAACCCTTCGTCGCGAGCAGAATTTCCGTTCCCTCCCATCAGCGTCGACCTGCACTTCTCGCCGGATTATTCGACGTCGAGAACTAGTCACCGGAGAGCCCTTCTCCTCCGCGACCAGATCCCCGCCACGCCGCGTCCAGAGCCCCCGCCACGCCGCGACCACCCAGACACGCCGCGGCACCCCATTACGAGCGACCCTTTCTCGTCGGAACACCCCAGCGGCGATCCTGAACGCCGTGCAGTACTGCTGTTTCCGACCCCGAGCCACTGTCCTCCCTCCGCGAGTCGAGCGTAGCCGCCGAGCACCGCCGCTAGCCACTGCGAGCTCGTCACTCACCCTTTGGTTCCGTTTTTCCGAGCTTTTCCCGAGAGCGGTACCTAGTCGAGCCTCGTTTCATTAAATCGTATATATCATTTTAAGTTATGCGATTATTTGATGTGTTGAAGTGTGTTACGAATATATATATATATATATATATATATATATATATATATATATATAAGCCTTTCGATTTTATGTGTACGTAATTGGTTCAATATGCTGAATGTGTATAGACGAGCTCTTCGATTTTGAGAAATCGAACGAGACCTCGTCAATTCGTGATTAAGTTACTATGGTTGGAACAATATATCATCCTTGGTCTTATGGCGAAGACCTCGGGCGATTTTGTCGTAAATTGAGTCTTAGATAAATTGTCGAACTTGATAAGTGACTGTTTTCGTAATAAAATCTTGATAAATTGCTCGCTAGTCCGATTTTCTTGAAATTTTGGGTGTAATTGCCTCTGTCGATTATGAAGCTTGTGTACAAATTTCATGATTTTTGGTGGTATTTAGCTATTTTAATAAATTAGAATGATTTCTGGTCAGATTCATGTTAATTGCATAATAAATTGTGTAGTACTCTAAATTAGCTGAAATTCGAGTATGTTGTATCTCTGGCATGTTTAGATGTTGTCTAAAATCTTCATAACTTTTGGACTCTGTTAGCTTAGGTAAATTTTGTATTTATGCTAGAAATTGTTTTAACTATGAAAAATTGATTTGATGCTGAAACATTCAGATTTTTGGTTGAAATGCTTGTTTTGTGTTGTATTTCATGCAGTTAATATATTTGAATTTTTAGAGTTAATTTAAGTTCAGTTCAGTCGAAAATTTGAAAACTGCTAAATGTTGTATCAATTTTGTTAAATAGCACGTTTGGTTTTTAAAGCTTAGATTTTTACATACTGTTAATTACATGCTGAGATTCCTTGGATAAAAATTTCAGAGTGTGAATCATTCATTTGGTCTGTTTGTTATATTATGCTTGTTTTTGCCATAAACTTGCTCGAATTTTATAAAATAGCATACTTTGAGTTTGGAGCTGAACATTGGTGGTTTTACTAAGCTGTGGGAGTTGAAATTTTGGTTAAACTTTCAGAGCCTAACTCATTTGATAACCTGACCAACTTGGTTTTGTGATTAAAAACTAGTATTTTCAAATATATGTTTTTGTATTAAAAACTGTAAATCGACTCGCCTTCTGTTCCTTTGAGTGTTTGACTTGGTCAATAAATGTTTTGGATTATGTGAACTCCCATGTGTATTTGGTTGAGTCTTAGTGTCGAGTCAAAGTGTTCCAACGTCCACAAGACTTCACGAACAACTTAGTCGAATCAAGTTCGACTAAGTATGATTGTGTTTTCCGTTTAAGTCAAAATAGATGTTGATTGTAGCATCTTGACTTAATGTAGGTGTTTGAAGAGCCGAGCTCGCAGCCTATATGTGCTTTCATGTTATCTTCTATTCGCGACCAGGTGGCTTTTATTTAAAAATTGTCTATGCCATAAATTATTTACATTTGTTGTATGGCGTGATTAATGCATGCGTGTGAACCATGTAACCCTTGTTGTGAGATGTATGTCCTTCGAGCGGTTGTCCCCATCGTTGTGAGTTGTATTTCCTTCGACGGTGCCTTTTGATAGGCAGTCTCTCTAGCCTAATGACAGGCAAGGCCGATGTGAGCTGTATGTCCTTCAATGGCTAATGATAGATGTGCACATTAGTAAAAATGTAGGATTAGGAGATGTGATAATTGATTGATTCGTGTTCATGCTGCAACCATGCCTAACTGTTATTGTATATGATTTATTGTATAGTGGTGAGCACTACGATTTCCAATTGTGCTCATCCCCACCTGAAATTAACGTTTCAGGTTAAGCAAGGCGGGCACGACGGCAGGATGGCGAGTGGATTGTCATAAATATGTTTAAATTTTCTTCCGCTTTATTATGAATAAATTAACCCGAATTTATGAAATGGAATTGCTTGGGTTTTGAACATGTTGATTTCTTTCAGACCATGTCGTTTGAAATGTTGGATTTGAACTTGTGATTTGGGTCGAATTTTTTATCTATGTTTTGGATATTCATGTTGGATGTGTTATTTGAACATCATGTTATTTGTTATGATTTAGGATAATGAAGTCCATGTGAAAAACCGGGTAATGAATTCCCGTGAGGTTTCAAATATTACATGAAACAAGATGTTGATTTTGAAAAAATGAATTTCGAAAATGTTAACTTGATTTTTGAATAAGCCATGGATTATTTCTTATATCAAAGTGGGGCGTTAAAGTTTGGTATCAGAGTCAGTCTGCGTTTCTGTAAACTGGTATGTGTGAATTATGTGAAATACTTGCATAATATGTATATGACCACTCGCTTCTGTCGTGCCTCGCCAACTCAGGTATGAGTTTCATAAGTAAATTTCGAGTTGATTATGAATTACCTAATTTATGAGATAATGTGATATGATATGATATGAATTGGAGCTTAGGAGTTTATCTACCTATTTTGAAATTTGTTGAACTCTAGTGTTTCATGGCGAACTCTAGATTTCTCTTGATAATTATTGTGCTAAATTCTTTCGACATATTCAATGTAGAATTATGGCCTATCGCACCCGCAATGCCCAAAACAATCAGCAAAACCCGCCTCCGCCTCTGCCTCCACCTCAGCAGGACGACCACCATGAGACTGTCATCAAGTTCCAACGGCTGACCCCACCGGCCTTCACCGGGGTTGAGGGGCCCACAGCCATGGCTGACAGGATACGCAAATTAGAGCGGATGTTCAATCTCTTGATGTGCATCGATGAGCAGAAGATTGTCTGTGCTGAATATCAGATGGAGGGAGATGCTGACACCTGGTGGCATGACCACTGGAG